AGAGGAACAGTGGCATGTCATAACAGACCACAGGCACAAACTGGAAGAACAGTGATGTGTGTATCTTAAGATTGTCAGACAGTTTTTTTTTTTTTAAAGTGGGCTCTAAAATGTAATTTAATGTCTATTTAAGCAATCTGTTAACCTTTTGTTCTCAAGAGAAAGTGGTTGAAATAATTCTATGAAGGATTCCTCCAAATGACCAATGCCCCGAGTCATACAGGTGCACTGACATGTCATAAAAAGTATAAACTGTAGGGAGATAGTGTGTGTTTCTTGAGAATTTCAGCCACATTATTTTCGAAAGAGTTGGATCTAAAATTTAAAAAAAGAAGAAACTGAATCGAAATTATTTTAATTAACTTGCTTGCTTTAAAAGCAAAGTGATCATGAAAGTCCACAGGTTCCTAATATTTCTTTAATATGTTAACATTAAAAAAAAAAATCTAAAAATATGCTGTTGACCTTTTCTTGTTTAAACTTAACAGGTAAATATAAGTCTTCAAACTGTTCATGGGTTTCTAAACATGACCAGTTGTGGACATCCGTGTCTAAGGTAATAAAATCAAAAGGCAGTGATGCTCATGTGTCCTTGTAAATTTTCAGCTGCAGAGAAGTGGATTGGTTGATGACTTCTGGCAACTGAGCCGTTTCTCTACTTGTTGTTAAAAGTTCAGTTGAAAGATTTGTGTACCAGATGCTGCTGCCTCTAATTGACCCAAACACGATCATAGACATGAAAAGGTAATGCACAAATGTGCTTCTCTACAGACTTTTAATCTCTTATTATTGAAATAAAGTTTCATTGAAAACATTAAAATATTTAAAAGTGAAAATTCTTACTATCCTCAAAGGATTTAAAGATAAAATGTTTCTGTGAAGTGGATGAAGCTCTTTAAAATGACACATATCCTCAGCCATAAAAGAATAAAGGCATGCTGTATAGTATATATCTGAGGTCACAAATCAGTGAGATAGAAATGCATGTTAAGAAAAAAAATATGCAATGTGATGCCTTTAAGTGTCCTGCTTTCAAATAAGTAAACTAAAAAAGGCTATTGGTGACATTAGCATGTCGCAAAAGTACAAATCAAGAGTCTGCCAATGAACCGCAAAATTCAATTTGTTATCTTTTAGTGAGCTATATGCAGTATATCTCCATCTTTTCTTTCTTTAAAGGGATAAAGTTTAATAACTCTTTATTAACTCAAACTACACAAGACTCTGTGCCTATAGAGCACTGGAGGAACAAAGCCATTGATACAAATTCATATGTTACTGATGTGTTTTTCTTAAAGAGTCTGAACCTGTTCATTATACTTATCATTAAAAATCAAAAACTGGGCTGAACATTTCACAAAATACCTTAAAGTATGCAAGTGGTGTGCTCTTGTTTAAAAGTAAAATGTTTTGATAACTCTCTGAACTGCAGGAGGCCTCTTCTGTATGTATGCGAGTGTGTGTGAGGTTAGGTGTGTGTGTGTGTGACTGGGTGTGTGAGTGTGTCTGAGTGGTATTGTCCCTCTCCTCTTTCACCTGTCTGAGTAGGTTCTCTAGAACGGTCCCTGCGTTCCCCACAGTCTTCTCAGCCCTGTCAGCCGAGTTGAACTTGATCAACATCAAACGGCATAGCATTCAAAAGTATTAGTGTTCTCTGTTGATGGGCCCTCTTGCTATCACAAATCAGTCCCCGAGCTACTTCATTATTTATCTCTAATTCATCAGTGTTGTCTCCTTGCACACGGGCAGTAATGCACACACATATACTGAGTACACACACACACACACACACACAGAGGACACACAGTGCACATCAGCACATTAATCTCTGCTTACCTTCAGCAGAGCTTTTGTTTTTGTGATCCTCTGTGTCATCACAGTTTAGCTAAAAAATAAAAAAAGGAATGTTTTTCTTCTTTTTTTTCCGCTCTACCTTTTTCCCCAGGTTAGTGCGGAGTTTAGAAAAAAAACAAAAATCCTGAGAAATGATTAGGCTCATGCTTGTACTTTTAAAATGCTGATTATTGCATGGACCCGACAGGCCTTGTGTTTTTCTCCAAGCATTCTGGGCATGTGAGTCCGAAAGTAGCCCCCATGGTGCCGTGACCCCTGACCTAGCGTGGGCGATCCCACCAGATGTGGAGTGTGTGCTGGGACAGTGGCGAGGGGCAGCTCGGTCTCACGCGGGGAGGCCCTGTCTCCCCAAACTGCCACAGAGAGCATGGCCAGAGGGGTTCTGTCAGCACCGTTATCAATCATACTCCCTCCCTGTCTCTCTCTCTCTCTCTCTCTCCCACTTTTTCCTTTTTCTCTCACTCTGTCTTTCACACTGTTTCCTTTTGCCACTGTCTCTCACTTTGCCTTATTCTCTATTCTCCTCTCTACTTTTGTTTTCTCTCACTTTTCCTTTTTTTCCTCTAAGATATCCTCTTTTCCACTTAAGCTCACCAGCTCTTTCCGTCTCAGTCACACACACTGTACACACCTCCCCTCCCTCCCCCCCACTTCCACACACTTTAACCTTCCTAGCGTGACTTTTTTTTTCTCTTATTCACCCTCTAATCTGTTTCACCCCTGCCTTTCTTAAGTCTAAGCGCACGCTTTCGCTCTGAAAATGTTTTTTATTTGTCCTTTAGATTGGCAAAGCAGATGCTCTGGAAGAACATGATACCTTGTTTCAAGTCCAAAAGGAATACATACGCCGTGATTTATCATACCCAGGGATTCTGATTTAAAGTGCAGAAGAAATGGAGAAGTGGACATGAGAGCGAACATAAGGATGAAAATCAGCATCAGCAGAAATATGTAGAGGACACCAGGAGGAAACCTTGCAGAGATTAAGTTTGGAAATAAGTTTCTTTTTTTTTTTTTTTTTTTTTTCACGGAGTAGTGATGCAGAGTAGGGGGAGATGGAGGCAGGGGTCATGGTTTGAGGAATAGATGCCAGTTGTCCCTGCCATCCGGTGCGAGGTGTTCTCTGACACATGGCACTTTGAAGGCCCGGTCCCTCCTATTGCTGCGATCCTTTACATCTGCAATCAGGGCAAATGGGTTACAGCCAGCACAACAGACAACAACTAAATAAACAACATACCTGGGGTGGATCCCCTCCAATTCCGGACTGCCAGTCTGGCTTTGGTGCATTTTTAAAACATCACTAGGTAATTGAACTCGAATGTTCACACTGACACATTTGCATGGGGTAAAGGGGGGTTGGTGTAAGCAATGGAGCAGCTGGTACGCACCAGTACGACTCCGGCTCAACCAGTCCTTCTGACTTCATATGTAGCACTTAATTGGTTCCCAAGGCAAGAATGAAATATTTAGCTCGCACGTCCTTTAAAATGCGATTGATTTTGATCTGACAGCTGTGCCTGTCCCGCGCGAGGGAGTGAGAGAGAGAGAGAGAGAGAGAAGGAGAGAGAGAGAGAGAGAGTGAGAGAGAGGAGAGGGTGAAGGCTGTCTGGGCTCGTTGCCTGAGAATAGCGCGACAACACCCACTCAAGCGCACACAAACACCAGTATATGGCCACTGAATGTAAAGGATCACTCATGGATGCCATATGCTTTCAACTAAAGCCTCCCTTTAAACCCCCCTATTTAACCTCCAAGATAGAACAAGCTCTGAGCTTTGGACCATCATGAGTGAGAGCTGCTTTTTATTGTGCAGGTTCAAAGCACATATGCACAATATATATGGTGTGCATGGACAATCTTATACTATTGCAGAAATTTAATGTAAATTCACATTTGGTGTCAAAATGATCAGGTGTGTTTGGATGCAAAATTAAAGAAACAGAATGACTGAGTACTTTTAATTGTAATTTTAAAGCCTGAGGAAGTCACACTTAGCAGGACCTTGTCTCTGTGCAGAATCTTTGATTTTTTATTTTATTTTTTAGGACCAAGCAGCTCGAGCACACCGTACAGAACACAACATTAGTAACCTATATACATTTCAGATGGGACTTTTAAACTTTAATCATAAGATCAGGTACAGATAGAGCTTTTTTTGTATAGATGTAGATTATTTTATTTAAGATTTTAGCTAAACTACATGTTTGAAAATCAGAAACTGAATAATTGCTATTTAAATTACACAAATTACCTGTAAATGACTCGATTACACTCAACAGGAACCCCAGTTAATTTTTATTTTATTGACACGTTTCAACAAAATAGAAAAATAAACCTGTATACTAAGAAAGATTTAATTCTCTGCTCAGGTGCCGATACATTCACCTTTGTTTCACTGTATTTATGCAGAAGAACGTCTCTATCTCTCAGTTAAGAGGAGAAAAAACACGCGCACTTTTGAGTGATACTGATGGACTCTAATAGTCTGAGCAGGAATCTTGTCTGTGTAGGTGCAGGTTCTAATACTCAAACCAAAGTGAGGCAGATATCCAATCAAATTGGATTAATGTCACTAATTATCTGACAGAAATGAGCGTTGAAAGGCAGTGGTGTGGTCACGCCATAACATGATAGAAATGCATTAAAGGAAAACCTGCACGGGATCCATGGCGGGGAACCTCCCCCCTGTCAAATTGACTAAGCTGCAAATTACATACAAACGGATATATCCTTTATATAACAGCAGTGATTTTCTCCACTTTATCCTACCTGTCAAGCTCAGAACATCACAGGCTAATTCTTTATTAAGTGAAAGGGCATCAGGGACCAGATGATCCAATTTAAGTACATTGGGCAGAATAGAAGACTAATTAAAACCCATATTTTTACATTATTAATTTTGGAACTTCACTTTTAATGAATGTGAAAAGACAGGCCTTCCATTTATACACACATACTCTTTGGGCTGCTCGACAGGGGAATAAGAGTTACGGGTATACTGCAGGGGCTGAGGAGAATTTTTAAGCATCCATGACAGACTTAATATCAAAGTTTAGACAAAGGTGTGTAAAGCTAACTTCTGCATCACAAACACGGCGCTTAATCATGTACATAGGTTTGGAGCCTTTCGCTTTATTTGGGTCTGCTTTGAGGCTTGAGACAAAAAAGTAATCAGGACGTCTGTTGCCAGGGGTGCAACCTTGTCATTTAGCCCTCATTCTTCCTCTCAGTACCTGGAGAAAGAAAAAAAGTGAGAGAGTGAAGAAAGAGAGGCACTGGCATTTAATGATGTGCCCCATTTCCACTCACCTCTGCTCAAAAGAGGTGCTCTTTTTTAGCAACGTCACTCTTAATTGTCCATCATGCCCTCTAATCAGATCATTAAGAACGTGACCCCGTTTTAGTGCAAACTTTAATTATCCTAGTGACTGGCAAGAGAAAAGTTGAGCCTTTATGCATATACTTTATCCAAATGATGGTAAAAGTCAAAGGCAGGGATAAAAAATGAAAGTATTTGCAATGCATATCACAGGCTGAAAAATAACTGAATGGGTAGATGTGGTCTGAAGAGAGAAAAAAAAAAGATAGTTGGAAAATGGGGAAGGTGGGTCTTGTGTTTACCCTTCGTAAAACACGATTCTCTCCGTGCACTTTTCATTCCCCACAGGCGCTCGCATCCTCACATCCACAAATAGGCACAAGTCAGAGGGCAGCGAGTTTGTAAAATTGAGTCAAATATACAAAACAGCAATATTTAATGACGTTTCTTTTTTCACACCAAGTGACCCCTGCATGGAAAGCGATCCGTTTTTTCTAATTTTTTTTCCTCCGGTTTCAGGAAACTCTTGGAAGGCAAAAGCAACATCCTGAGTTGGTGAGGAGACAGGAGAGGTGCTGACATGCCGACAGGCAGGGGATCCTGGGAAAAGCCACAGACAGGAAGAGCCTGACTGACTTTGACCCCTGAGGTCAAGGCTGGGGGCTCGGCAACTGAAAGATGTTTCCAAGCCACACTCAGACTATCATAGAGTTTTACAGGAAATAGCTCAGAAATACTGTATGCTGTGAAAATGTGGGAGATCTTTTTTATTGCTTGCTCTTTTGTTTTGCTCCCTGTGACATAAAATGCATTTTGGCCCTGAGCTATATTTGACTTATTTGTTTGAGGGTTACCGTATGTAATTGAGTTGAGCTCAAGTCCATTTCTCATCTGTATAATGTGGAAAACAGTATTTGTTCAGAGTGTGGATGTGCCGTGACTAATAGAATTACAGATAATGGGAAATGTGGAGATTTAGAGTGGGACAAAAGCAGAGTGTGACTCTCCTGCTCCAATTTCTGACATGTGTTTCAAATAGAGTGAAGTTTCTCGACTTTTTAAGGCTTTCTGTGGTCGGTCTCTGAAGGCCTTTTACAGTTAAACCAAATTGGGTGAGAGGAGATTGTCCTTTCCCCAGCTTTGCAGAAGGACCCATAAATCAAGGCATCCATCGTTTGTCACACCTCTGTCTCCCAGCTCGTGGCTCAGGCCCACCGTGTTCCAACTCTGAGTTTTTTACGGCACAAATGTATCCATCAACCCCACCGAGTGGCCGCCAGCCGCCAAGCCGCCTCAGCGATCGATGGGTGCGATGTACCCTCCCTCTCGGCCTGCGCGCCGCTCTCTCTGCGTGGGAAGGGGTAAGAGGAACCTCATTTTAGCTGGTTTTAGCCTCGGGCCACTACTGTGATTTTACCCCATGCTCCTGGCCTGACGTCATTAAAGATGCATGATGATGGATACCATGAAGTCAACCTCTCCGAGGGGGTTTTGAGGTGAAAAAAAAAAAAAAAAACCTTGCTTGTTTTTCAGATCACACTAAGAATAAATCAAGACTGTTTAAATGTAGAGGTTGCAACTGGATGCATGTGACTAATCTTTCAATGCACATCAGAGGAGAGAGGAGGCAGGTATTTAACGGTGAGGAGGCACGTTTTGACCAGTTGGTGGTGCTCCTGTCACAGTAAATTCACCGGCTCGCCTCTCGCTGTGATTCAGATAAATTCACTCTCTACTATTTCTAAACCCAGAGTGGAGAAACACAAGACAATGCTGCAAATTTAGATTTGAAATCAAGACATGCTTGAGAAAATTGTTCCTTTTTCCCCCTTTTTTTTTTTTTGCAATAGAAACTTGTATTTGCTGTTGCTAATTTTAGACTCTTTCACTCCCACTTTTCATAATCTGATCCCCGTCTTCTCCTCCCACTACATGTACATGTTTATAAGATGATGGAGGATATTCATGAGGCCCTGCTGCACCATATTCCGAGGAATTAAGAAAAAGTGAATCCATATTCATAAGCGTGTAAAGTTGGGTTTTATCCGGGAATCACAGTATAGCATTAAAAAGTTAATGTTTCGCCGTGCGCAGCGCAGAATCCAAGAAATGTAACCTTGAATTTGCTACTTGAAGTGTGAGTGCCTAAGTTCAATGCACAAATTTGATAAAGTGTGTGTGTGTGTGTGTGTGTAAGTACTTTCATGGTCGCTGAGTGTGTGTGTGTGTGTGTGTGTGTGTGTGTGTGTGTGTGTGTGCTGTGAGGAATCAGTGCGTCTCTAAAGGGACTGACAGGGGAGACATTTGACAGCTGTGCTCCTCGGGTTCAAAGGTCATGTCAAGTCCTGGATGAGCCCAAGGTAAAATGCTTCACAGGGCTCGTACCGGTCAATGGGTATCGTTTGCCTCTCTAGCAAACAGGGTTTGGGCGGTAATGGGACCTCAGTCAGATGTCAGCGCCTGGAAGAAAAGTCAAATACCATGAGGCTACATTTATAACCTCCCAAAACAAAAGGAGAAAGTGAAAAGATTGAACTTTTAAACTCCCCAATTTATAGCTTAAAGGTGTCATATGCATCGGGAAACTCTCTAGGTAGCATCCATTATCAGTCAACACCTCTCTCTTTTCTCTTCTCCCACTTTTCTCTTCTACTTTCTCCCTCCCCTTCCACTCCCGCGTTTCAGCTCTAACTGCAGTTTCCAGCATCAGCCTTAACCGGCACGCGGTCCATGCCGTCCCTGCTGGGGGAGTACAATCCAGCCCCCTCACTGGAAGACCCTGAAATAAGGCCTTTATCAGCCAACCCCACACAGTATCAGGGGGCCCTGGGCTCCTCCGGCAGCCTCTGATGTGAAGGAGAGATGGACGGAGCTCTGTGGTCCTCTGGTCGAGCACCAGAACAGGATTCAGCCCATTGTAGCATTCAAATTAAGCAGGCATCAAAAGGGAAGAGGAAGCTGTTGTTGATGTATTGTCTCGTGTTATTTTAACCGGCTTAACTCAAGCCTCTTCATGGTGGAGTGTTGTGGCGCTGGATGCCGATGATGATAAGTGCTGGATTCTCTGTTAAGACTGCTAAGCTGCTGTGCTGGCTGAACAGGGGGGCTCTGGCTTGGTTGGCTGTCGTGGCTGATTTTGGCTGTGGTTGAACCGTTTCAATAGGTTACCACGGATTTATCCACTCAAAACCGCTGACTTGGCTGTCCGCGTACAGCCTCTTCATGTCACCAGTGGGACCTCTGTTTATTTCATAATGCTGACATTTTTTAGAGGAGATTTGATGAAAAATTAAAGTTCAACACAACAACACTGAAACTTCTTTTTTTTTTTTTTGAGTTAGTTAGTTAGACAGTTTTCAAACTGCAGATGCGAAATCAACAAACAAACTTTTCTCAAATTAAAAACTTCTCCGCTTTTGGAGCGTCTTGACTATTTACAGTGTTATAAAAACCAACTGCACACTTTCTGGGCCTTCAAATTCCAAACAAACGCAGGCCTCTTTTTAATAATGACACCAATAACATGTAAATAGCCGCCATAAACATACATGTGAGGGGAAATATGTTTTCTATAGAGTTAAATTGCAGCGTTTTATTTACTGGATTGGTGAATAATCACCCTGTAAAAACAGTTCAGTCAGCTCTGAGTACTTGTGAATCGCTCTCTCCATTCTGCGCTGAAAGCTGTCTATTTAATTTCTCTCGTCTGTCCTCAGAGCAGTAGCTATTAAGTGCCTTCATATGTCAAGCCACTGACACCTCCTCCATTCTCTTCAGCTTGTTTAAGCGTGCCCCTGCATTGTTGCCCGCCGTGCTTGACGTGTTAATAGCTTAATAACGTAATCTGGCAAATAATGACACCTCATCACAAAGAGCGAGGCCAAATGTTTACAAGGAGAGCCGTAATGTATGATGACAGTAATCTGAATAAAAATGAATTTACTGCCATCGTCTCATTTGCAGTAAATTTTCACTTCTTCCATGCACAACTGATGCTCCGCGGACACCTTTTCCGTCTTTGCTCTCTAGCTGTCTCATTACCCGGGCCTTTCAAGTGCTGGGAGAAAGGGAGAAAAGAGATGGAGAAAGGGGTGAGGGTGTGAGAGAGGAAAAAGAGGAGGGGGAGAGAAAAGAAGGGGGTAAAAGGGAAGGAGACAGAGAGGGCAAGGAGGAGAGAGGCACTGATAGAGCTTGTTATTTTCAAAGCCCTTCTCCTCTCTATTGTTTGGAGCGAGGAATAAGGAAAAAAGGGAGAAGTTCACACCGATTTCAAAAAGTCTCACTTCCTTTTTGACAGATGTGGTGTCAGCTTTGCTGTTTAATTAAAAGGAAATGAAGGTGATGATTGCAACACAGACGTGATCTGATATGATAATGTATTTACAATCATCAAGATGATCGTCATTAAGGATGTGTCAAGGACGAATTCATTGTGGGATTTGGGGTCCTGAGCTGTCAAGTGTATTTTTCTGAGGCGGTGGTGAGATTGTCAGGAGGATGCCGAGAGTATGACAGTCACAATTAATAATTTGCTAAAAGAATGTGATTGAGTTTTATACACAGTTTTGTCATGGCTATTTCCAAAGCCCAGGACGTTCACAGCAGCCGTTTGTGTGTGAGAGAAAGAGAGAGAGAGAGAGAGAGAGAGAGAGAGAGAGAGAGAGAGAGAGAGAGAGAGAGAGGCCCAGCTCAGACTGGAACAAGAGATGAAAATACCCTTGATACATATGCTGCATGGGATTCTATTATTAAATGACTTTGAATTATTTTATGCACGCTGGCTTGCATTTTTCATAAGAGGTGCATATGGAAGGTTCATCAAAACAAATTGTTCGATTTTGACAATTACTACAACAATCAGCGCTGTCTTTGGCTGCACCTGTTTGAAAATGAATAATTTGAAGTCATTTTAATTGCTTATGTGACAGCTAATCATCAAGGCATTAATTTATTTATCGAGCTTCATTTGAACTTCCTCCTTAGTGATAACATATCCAGCCTTACTCTCTAGAGTCACAAGATACTGATTAAACTGTAGCAACCTCCTTCAGTATTATGCAGATGCCGGGGAGTGAGCCCTGGAGTGGCTGCAATAATAAGATGCATGATCCAGGCTAAGTCAAGATGAACCGTGCATCGGTCAGAAAAAAAGAAGTAGAAATAACTTGTTGATTTAAATCACGATATTTTAAGCGAAATTTTCTCCCGCCAGGAGGCAGCTGTCGAGCTGAACGGTGATTATCCTCCGAATGAAGATTTCCAAACATGCCTTTAATGCCGTTTTCATCAGGTGACCCAAAAATCCAACATTCCTAAACACTGGATTGTGTTCCCTAAATCAAAAGACAAACTCGATAGTGTCGAGTTATGTGACAACACACACAAAGTGAGGAACATCTGCCCCAAAACTCTCAGAGAAGCGGAGCATTAGCCTGAATGTTTCTAGCTGCTGGTGGCTCATCTGCAGTTGGTGGTGTGCCGGGATTGGTGCGATGGCTATGGGGAAATCAGCCACTGTTCTCTCTCTCTGGGTCCCAAGCATGGCCATTAACTGACTGCCAGCAGCTCTGGGAAGAGGAACAACAGATGCCAGCAACTGAAAAGCCTCCAGCTCTTCAGCTAAACCAATCCCAACTGAGTCGGGACGGGCCTCTGTAGATTTTTGGACATACAGCGAACAAATGTGGACATGAAAGGGGGAAGAGGAGGGCTGTTCTGGAGGTAAAGATTTGTTAACCCTCTTGAACTTGACAAGAGACGGGACCGAGGCACAGATTAGCCCTCTCAAAGCTGGCTTTTTCGCAAAAGGTTGCTGTGTGAATATGTGAATGTTGGTGTGAAGTGGCGCGCACATATGCTTGTGTGTTTGTGCGCGCTTGTGTTCAAACAACTTTGCCTGTTTGCACATTCTATATGCAGACACGTACAGGCGTTATGGCGGCGGCACATTAAATGGCACATAATTACAGTGGTGAAACCATTTAATTATAATGTAATTACATTTTACTTCTCTGTCATTATCATATCCGTTCTCGAGTAAAAGATTTCCTTTCTTGGCGGATTTCATTGTAGCCGTTTGGCTGCGTGGTTGTGAAGCTCCACCTCAGCTTCATTTCTTCCTGTTAAGGAAAAGAATGTGTGTCCACCCTCAGAAAAAGAAAAGAAAAAAAATCTCCACATGTTTAAACAATTCAAAAACTTGTCTTCTGGCTGGAAATACGTAATGAGGCCTACGAATTAAGGTGCTAATGCTACCTCGGGGTGCAGAGTTCATGTGCTTGAACATTACATTACACTTAAGCAAAGACACATGAGAGAAGTCAAACGATTCTGACCACATCAGGCTGCACAGCGACGAGGAAAATCAGGGAAATGACGGGACGGTGGAGTAGGAAGTGGAGGTGGGAGATCTGGGGTGGGGTGGGGTGGGTTGGGGAGGTAGGGGGGCAAGAAAGCACAAAGCCTGGGTAAACACAGCTAGGTCTGCATCTGGAACCAACTAAAAAGATGCTTAATAATGCAGAGCCGTGCAGGCGGGCCCTGTGCAGCTGTTGTGTGCGCAGGACCATGAAAGACTCTCCATCTGACAGCTGGCTCCATCTAGCTGGCTCCATCACCCTCTCCCACTCTCTCTCTCTCTCTCTCTCTCTCCTGCTTCCCTCTCTCCTCTGTGGTCCAGAGTGGCAAGGAGACAGCAGATTAGGGATTAGCCAATCCCTGCCATCCTCATCTGTCCCATCTGCCTGCCAGCCAGCCAGGCTTCTGATTCCAGGGAGAGATGGGACATTACTGAGGGAAAAAAGGAGGGGGGGAGGAAAGAAGGACGTGGGACAACAGAGGAGACAAAGAAGGACTGGAATGGAAAAGCTGGAGAGATAGGACAAAGAGAAGTACACAGGAAGTGGAAGCTTGGACGAGGAGAAGAATACGTGGGTGTGGGACTCTTGAAGACAGCAGGACTTGACTGAGATAGGCAGAGACACGCTACAGTGCAGTTTAGGGAATAAAAGATTAGAGACCTCACCCTTCCCACCAACTTCAGGCTACTTTAACAATTTCAGTCAACGCCATGATACATGCCACGAGTCTGTAACCTCATGAAACATTCAGAGAACCTGCCACTCTGCATATTCAACAGCTTTTGGACATAACCGCTGTATCTTAATCCGTGACTTTTCCTCGCTACAGGCAGCACATGGACGTACATTATTTTTCCCGTGCAGAAATTTCACCTGAACAAAGCTGGCAACCCTTTATAGTTGCTAAAAATACACCCTTGTATTTTGTCTCGCTATCAAAGAGACCACTTGTCTTTTTAATAATCTGCCAGCTCACATTTGGCACAGACCAGAAAGCGCACTCAGAGAAATAATTGCTGTTATCTGTTAGAGTCAATAAAACCTCTACAATCGCACTATTTGAGATAGGAGTGCGCTCCTTTGCCATGTGTTCCCCCTAAACAAAGTCCCTCTAAATGATTTAGATATACGCTCACTAAGTATCTGCTTATACATTATGAGTGTAATAAGCTCCAGGCAATTGGAGGCTATTGGAAGCATCAGTCATTGAACTAAATAACAAGGAAACAAACTCCACACAAATGCAGATCTGCTCGAGAGCTAAAGTAATTCAGATATCAACACTCTGGGCTCTTCATTTTTTGCACATTTTGCAAGCCTTCACATATCTATTTCCTCCACATTGTGCTGCAAATGTATTCACTGTATATTTTCAAGTGTTAAGTGAACAATTTCAGGTCGCAGCAGCATTGTGGCTCTTGTTTCATATTATAACAATAACGATTCAAACTTAAGGGACCGAGTTCTGCTCAGCAACAGGGGAATAAAAGAGAGAGAGAGAAAAAAAAAGTTCGCTCCTTCTTCCTCTAGAAAGGCACCCGGTAGCTTAACAGGCCCTCTGCTCCAGTACCTGGATCCCTCTGTGCACACCTTTAAATCACACCCAGGATAGTTGCCTTGTCAAAGCTCTCTCAGTGAGCCAGGCATCTGAGAAACATTAAAACACTTCCTCATGCAAGCCAGAGCCTCCCACAGGGCAGCGAACGGGAGCAGAGCCTTTCTCTCAGGCCCAGCATCCGGGGAGGATACTGCTCAGTACCGCTTGGAAAGTCCCAGCTCGGACAGCGGTGGTTAATATTTTAATAGCCTACGGCTGAGGCAGTTATCATCCAAGAGTATTCTTGTTGGTGGATTTAAAAAAACCCACTCTCTCTCTCTCTCTCTCTCTCTCCCTCTCTCTTTCTCACAGTTAAAAACCCGATTTGAGTTTTTAATTATTCTTTTTTGAATTCCCCAACCAGCTCTCCTCTGTTCTTTTTCATTTGTGCTGTGCAGTTTTTCCAAGACTCGCACCCAGGGAATCCCTGACAGTGTCCTACTTAACTTTTCACTTTCTTTCCTGTGATTTGTTCTTTTTTTTTCCACCGGGTTGAGGGACTATTACTGATCAATCCAACGGCTTCTCTCCAAACACCTGCGTTTATATTGATCAGTCGTCCGCTTTCCCTCCTTTTGAACTGAAGGGAAGACTTGTCAGCATTACAGGTAAAAGTGATCAAATCCCCTTATGAAGCCACCGCTCTGTACGCTCAAATCCTTTACATGGGAACAATGTTTGCCCGCAAGTGCTACACAGCTGAGCTAAACGGGCAGCAAACAATTCCCAACGTTGAACTTTGCATCAGTGGAAATGTTGCAAGTTTTGTTGTTCCTACTCATCTACGTTTAAATTCGGTTTCTTTAATTTCACTCAGCTCAGAAACAGGAGGAAAGCACAGCGAAATGAGAGGGAGTAAAACACAGACATGTGCATGTTTGTGTGTTAGTGCTTACATTGGCATGTGTGCATATTTGCATATGTATGCATGTGAACATTTGTGTCCATGCAAATGCAGGTCTACAGGTCTTTTCTATGTGTGTGCATGTGTGTGTGTGTGTTTGCATGTGTGTGTGTGTGGCTGCTCTGAGCCAGCCGTCAGCACAGCCTGCAGGGAAGAGGGGCCGGGGTTACGGCATCAGCTGCAAGCAGGAATGAGAATGGCTGAGAGTCAGACAGACACCGCCGTGGGTTATTATGTTTGAGTCAGACCAAACACTCCTGGGAGCACCGAAAATATTGCTGTTACAGTTGTAACATTATCACAACAGAATAAATAAGAGCGGACCCGGGACACCCAAGGAAGGCTTTAAAAAAGGGAATATATGCAAGGGCTTCAAAAACTAAGCAGGAATAATTAATTAAATAAATCTCATCACAGCACTCCTCTGCACACTTAATTGAAGTGCGCTAAACGTGGCGAGTGCTTTCAAAATTGAGAGGACGGGTCAATCCGAACCTCTGCACCTCCATAATGAAAGAGAAAAAGGAAGATAATAGCACACATAACCTCAAGCAATTAAAGGCCTCTAGAATGTGGTGAACAAGCTTTGCCCTCTTGGACACTGTTGACCCACAGTGCCCAACACGGCCCCCTGGGAAATAAGCACTTATTAAAAATGGAGGAACCGCCACAATCCCACCGAGGCTGTAATATGCTATAGAGTAATTTAATTCTACTTACATGTATCACTTCAGCTTCTGCGCCGACTATGAGGCAATTCAGCATTTCATTTGACAAAATATGACCTGTCGAGAGGCTGAATAATAACACAGCTGGATCAGATGTGTGGACATGTGATACAGCGGCTCCAGAAAAAGAAGGTCCTGCCGTTCATTGAGATATATCTCGACGTAATTGTCGTTTCCGCTCTATCTTAAAACACGCCGCATTTTACAATAAAAAGGCAGACATGAAAAAGCCTCATCTACTTAAGGGATTATTTTGAAAGTCTCTCTTTACCCTCCAACAGACTGATGAAACACACTTCCATGCTTGATTTGATCATCCTTCATAAAGGAGAAGAAGAAAGTCTATGCAGTGGAATCTCAAGTCCTGGCATGGGTTTGGGAATATTGGTTGTACCCTTCTCCAGAGTCAGGAAAATCCCCCTGGTGTGGTTGCTCTTTCTTTGTGCTGTGCAGCTTCATCGCAAATAAACATACTGTCTGTTATTGTTTTCCCACAAGAACGTCAGAGTTAAAAAAGTGTATTTTTTTTCTTCTTTTGCTCTTCAAAATGAAATACAGGTCAGTGTCCTACATAAGTTTGCTTCAGTTTGGAAAACATTTCTGCGGCATATTTAAAGTGAGAGTTTTCGCTCGATTCTGAAATTCACCTTAACGCCTGAACAGACTTAAAACAAAACCGGTTAAAAAAAAAAAAGCTCCTGTTTGGTGTAATTAATGATCATTGTTATAGATTTAAGTACAAACGTGAGGGGGGAAAAAAAGATCTTAAATGCATCCATGAATAAAACAACTGCTGTTGGGGAACAATTTGGGACGTCTGATTCTCTCTGTGGGTGTCGAGATGAATAAAAAAAAAGACCCTTCTTGAGCATGCATGTGTGGTTGTCTTTGGGAGAGCGGCCATGCCTCGTGGACAGATAAAGGAGTGATAGGACACCGGGGGATAGGGCAAGGACACGTGGCGGCCCGCCCCTGGTCATTGGTGACAAGAGCAGGGGGACGTTAAACACACACACTGGGCTGACTCCACACTTTGATTTAGCGCTTTTGCCTAATGTTACAAAGGGGGGTTACTGAGGCCCACTGGAGATGGGATCAGCAGATCTCAGCCACTGTCGTCATAAAGAAGCCTGCGGAGGGCTCAAACCTCGACTCACATCTGATGCACGAGCCAGTTTGAAAGCCTGTGTGTAAGAGAGAAAGAGAGAGAGAGTGAGGGGAAAAAGAGGGGTGGTCCGTAGACCATAGAGAACAATACACAAAGGGCGTTTAATGATTCCATATTGATGCTCTGTAAATGGCTTAATTTGTCTGAAGACACAGCGCAAAGGCAGTGCTGTGCTGCAAACTGTATTGACTCAAAACACATGATTTAATACATATTAATATTAGATGAATGACTTGTTAATGGATGCATCAGACAAATCATAATACTTTGCCATAAATAGATTGAGGCCTTTTTAAGAATTTATGGAATATTGGATTATTTTCCAATCACTGCTACAGCGCAACAAATCCAACTTCCTGGTCCTGTGAAAAACTCTTCCACTGTGGATGCAGGTAAATAATCTCTCCCTTTTTTTTTCCAGCTAGTTACTCTCGCTGTGGGCTGGGAGCTGATCTCTGCTCCAGACACTTTCAAGTCTACTTAATGTAGCCTACACGGGGCTTCACAGGCTGTTTCATGCTCTTATGGAAAACAGGCCTTTGAAATCCCTCAGCAGCCCAATCTTAATCTCATTTGTGAATATGAGCCGAGCCACGACAGGACCAGGAACATCCTCGTCTTCCTAAAGCACCGTTTCATTTGTCAGGAGATTTGGGGCGGTTGACACCAGAGGAGTGATTTAATTGATTTTAATCACACAC